GCCCTTTCAGATGTCATGCAGCTTTTCCCATGACCATTCCTGTGAGCAGTTAAATGTGTAAAAAAGGAAAAATACTCCTTCCCCCAGGCAGTTGTCATTCATTTCAATGATTTTCACAAGTAAAGAAATGAATTGGACACACACTCTTCCAGGCTGATTACCTGGCATTATCTCCTCTCTGAGAAGGGCCAGGACTCTCAGAACAGTTTGGAAAGCATGGTTATATCCATTTCTGTCATTCAGGGATCTCTTCCAGGCCTACTACAACTTTATTAACACAAAAACCCACAGTCTAGAACTATCAATAGCCTGCAATGATGCCACCTTATCTGGCAAGAAAATGAATGGGTGGCCTAAAATGTACACCCCTGATCACCAAACAGCAGCAGGATGCATGTAAGGAAGCCGAACATGTGAGCACACCTTCCTGTCAACATTCACTTTAATATATGATGCACATGCCCCATTAGGAAAGACATCTGTATGTTCCCCTCAGATGATGTGCCACCAGAAAGACAAATCAATGAATTCAAATCAAGTCTGTACTCTTTTAGATAGAACCTAAAATGACTAAACTGAGGCCATCATACTTTGGGTGTATCATGAAAGGCAAGGTTTATCAGAGAAGGAAAAAAATGCTAGGAAAAAATGTGAAGGCAGCAGGAAAAGAGGACTAAACATGAGATGGAGTGACTTAAGTAAAGGAACCACAGCTTTGAGTCTGCAAGACCTGAATAGGACTGCTAACGAAAGAACGTTTTGAAGGTCTCCAATTCATAGGGGTTGCTATACGTCAGAGACAACCTAATGGCATGTAAAAGCAAATGCTCCCTGCTTCATTTGCCCCTTTCTCTTCTATTAGAAAAGGAAAAGCTCATGTAAACAAACACACATACCGATTTCTGAACCATCCCTCCACCTAACCACCTCAACAGAGCGTGTCACTATTAAGGAATGTGTGGATCTAGGGCTTAAAGCAGAGGTCTTTCAACTTGCAGCCCTCCAGGTGTTGGATCCCAGTTCCTGTCAGCCTGGCCAATAGTGGGGGGGGGAGGGGGGAGGGAATAGAGCATTAGTAGCATTTAAGAGGGCCACAAGTTATCTGCCTTGGGCTGAAATCATGAGAACGACATCAGCCATTTATTCTATTTCCAATTCTTCAGAAAGGGAGCAAAGGCAGCTTTTGGTTGAATTAAAAAAAAAAACCTACAGAGTAGAGCACAAGGCTAGACCATGGCCATTAACTCTTGACAGAAAAAAACCAAAAACAATGGAAACACTTTTCTGGCACTGTTTTCTAAGGCAGCTCCATCAATTATCTGGATGAAACACTGTGGATACATCTTAATGCAAAGTAGGTCATTTTTGGAAAAGGCGAATGAACCTTGTTGATGTCAGACTAATTATTTATTTTGGTAGTTCCTGCTGTTGCAAGAACTTCTTTGTATCAAGCTTGCAGGAAATTCTGGGTGTGGGACAATCTTTTCCACTGAGCAAGCCAAAGGGAGACTTGATGGCCTCGGGAGTTACTGAAGCAGTTAAGTACTGCTTCAATAACTAAGTGGCAGCTAGGGCTCAAGTCAGCAGAATACAGTGCTACCAAATCCAGCCTATCAACTCAGACCCAAGGCAACCCTAAAACTGACAGAGTGGAAATGACGCAATATGTCAACTGATATGCTATCTGCCAGACTCAAGCACTACATAAGAGCAACACAAAACTGAGAAATGTTGCCTCTATTAAAATCATATACTACCCTGTTTCCCCGAAAATAAGACCTAACCTGAAAATAAGCCCTAGTATGATTTTTCAAGATGCTCATAATATAAGCCCTACCCCAAAAATAAGCCTCAGGATTTGCAGTGTGATGAAGTGCTTAGAATTCTATGCCAGAGAGCCTAATTGTGTGTGTGTGTGTGCGCACACACACACACGCACACACACAGAGAGAGAGAGAGAACAACAGCGAAGAATTCTAAGAATCTCACCAAACTACACATCCCAGAATTCTACAGAACGAAGCTATGGCAACTAAAAGGAGAATCAAAATTTTCTAACTGTGTAGTGTTCATATTCTCTCAGTCATTTTAAATAGATTTTTTCTTAATCCTCCAGGGATAATCTCAACGAAGTCTAAAGACATGCACAGATTCTTCCTTATACATTTTCATTGCTGTGGCATACGGCTTCCGTATGATCAATCTTTCAGGAACCAACCCAGAGATCAAAGGGTGCTGCTAAACCCCCCCCCCCAAAAAAAAACTAATTCCAGGCTGCCTCCAGCTAACAGGTGATGCTTACTTACCAGTTAGAATCTGAATGCAAAAAACACACACACAAACAAAGAAACAGGAACATCTGTAAGCACAGCATTTGGTAACTGTGTTTACAGCTCCACATAGTGGTGATCATTTGAAGCTCAGAGCTATGTTAATTAAGAAAGGCTGAAAAAGCAAGCAGGGCTTGTATCTCTCATAATGAATCACAGCTGTGTGTCTCTTGCTCTTACAGCTTTAGATAGTTTGGTCCTAAAGTGACAGGCAAAGTAAAGTAATTCCTGTGATTGAATTAACTTTTCATGACAGCTGCATAGGGTTTTGATTTGTAGACCAATTTCTGAGGAATACTATTAGAGATTTAATTTGCTGCAGAGACATGCAATTTAAGACCTCAGGAACAACAGACTTGAGTAGTGCAACTCTGACAAGCAATACTGCCTAGAAAGATAGCTTGGAGGAAGTGAGTGGCAATTAATCCCTGAACTCAGCTCTAGGACAACTCAAAACAACAACAGAGCTACAAAACAGAACCACTGATGCAGGACATTTTATCCAGCTATAGTCCTTGTGATCATGTCCCCTATTAGCTATTTACCTACATGTGGCAAAACCGTCTCTCTTTGACACTGGGTGCTGACCACTCACATCCAGCCTCAGTTGCTTTGTCTTGCATCCATCTTCAGAGAAATAATAGCCAGAATATCCAGTAACACAGCAGTGACCAAGTATTCTTATTTGTACTAACGTGTCCCCCTGCAGCAACTACAGTATTTATAATTTTAAAAAGCAACATGGCATGGACTAGTTAAATAATGAGAAAGTTTACCTCACATCTAGCATGGGGAGGGGGGGGAAGAGCATTACACCAAACAATTACTGCATCCAGCATCCTGTTTCCAAGAAAGTTTGTATCTTTTAATAGCCAAGTAGCATCCCCATGGCTTCAGAGCCTTAGTCTGTCACTTTATCCACTTCAACACACTGGGTAGCAGTTATACAAGTGAGACTTGTGACAAAATACTATTCCCGTTCTGCATTACATTTTCTTTCTCCCCCCAGAATTATTCTCCTCACCTCTAAACAGCCACCGTTTTGTGGCTATTGAACACATGCAGTCCTCATTAGATCTTCCTGAATCTGCCCTGAGGGGTTTTCCATTTCTGGACCTTGGCAATCCTGTTGATACCACCCTCAAATTCAGGTGATGATCTTTCAGCTACAAAGGACTAGCAGTTCGAGTGCTGAAATCCCCATTAGGATGACAGCAGTCAGAACTGGGAAGATATCATGACTGAAAGACTTCTTTCTCCCTCCTGAATGTGGCCCCTCCCCACGTAATATATGTCTGACTATGTGGCCAGGGACTGATGGGAGTCAAAGCGACGTGCTGAGGGAAGGCTCTCTTTGAAGAAATGTCTAGTGCCCTCTAAATCCAACTAAGCTACTGGCTCTCATATCTTAATGGAAATGAATTCTCTATATATAATTACTCACTTCATGAAGATTCAACCTGTTTAAAAAAGATATTACTCCTTTTCATAAAATATCCAGGGCTAGCAACAATATAAAACGAGATAACAACATTAGAACAGAACCACAACAAAACTAATAATGGAAACACTAATGTCTAGAGGAAAGAGAAACCAACGTACCTTTACATTATCTGCTGAAGGTCTTGCTGTAGTGCTGGAAAGCCACCAGACACAAAATAAGGCAGGCCGCCCACAGGGTCTCCTTCCTGGACAGTTGCTGCCAGTGTTAACATAAAATTGAGATTGCATTGTTGTCTTTTCTTTTTCTTTTCTTTCTTTTTAGCTTCAATGTGCACCTTTTACCATTTATTTTAACTCATTTGCCATTTTCTGGTTCCACCACCAAATTTGGTTAGCTCTTTGCATGCCACCCTGAATAACCTTACTACCCAGAATACTGTAATCAGATGACACCCTGGCAACTTTATTGTTCAGTCCTGAATTCTATACAACTAAGGAATATACTATACATATCCTTGTATGGATCCTGACAGGATCAAACTGGTTTCTTAACTTTCCAGTTTATACTTAATTCAGTTATCAGTCCTTAAGCAAACCTTTCTCTGTGACTACTATGTTTTCACAGGAGCCTTTGGAGAAACACTTGTCAAGAGCTTTTGAAAATGTAACTATAGCATGTTTTCACATATGGTCTTTACTTACCTGCTAGCCGACACTTACAACTGCTGCAAAACATGGATGAGACACAGAATGAATCTTAACAGAAACAAGGCCTGTCCCCTTTAGTGTGTTTCAAGCATTTCTAATGCATTGCATCAGAACCCTTCAATTAACATGTAGTTCTAATTTTGCTCAGGTAAGATGGCTCAAATTGCATGCAGAACTGTCTTGCTCTTCTGTCACTTCAAAAAGGTTGTCAAATAAAGGCAACCCAGCCTCAACACGGTTGGTGGTGGAGGCTTACATGCTCTGAAGGCTGACATGCAGCCATTTCAGATTGTCAGCTACAGAAGGAAGGAGCTGCTCTCTTTAAAAATGCCTGCCGATAAGCACTTCATCCCTGCCAATCTAGTCAAAAGTTTGAAACTGAAGTGTAAGAAATAGGATTTCAAAAACAACAGTTTGCTTCACCTACCGAATTGTGCCTTCTTTGCACCATTAAGGCAACTGTAGTTCACAAATAGACCAGAGACGGAAAGACAAAAGCAATACAGCCAAGATGTTGTAACAATTCTGCTTGAAACCAGTCAAGCTTTTTTTTTATTATTTCTTTACCTTTAAAAAAAAACCACCATCACCACCATCATCGTTTAATGTTGGAAGTATACATGATTTTTACATAAGCTACATCTAATATCCTCAGAAATCCCACCCACCCTCCAGCCCCACCCACAATAACATACAGACTGATACATGTTTACATACTATTAGACATTAAAACAGGCTTCTAAAGACTGTAGATGCGTATCAGGCCATTTTGGCAGCTTTCCACCTCCCTGCAGCTCTCCAGTCATAGGTTTGTGAAGAGTCGGCTTTGGTAAGCATGAGGTTGAATTCCTTTTTCATCACACTAACATTTACTTTGACATGGTCAGCGAGCTAGATCACGGGTATGTGTGTGGCAGCTGGATGCATGTCATGCCATGGCAGACAAGCTATCCTTAATGATTTCCTCTTTTTTTGGACACAAGCAGAGAATACCAAGAGAAATGTTACCTTGCCATTTCTTCTTGTATCCCAGCTAAGTAGGCCTGAGTCATTATTTGCACTGCAGGTAAGGATAATAAAAGCTAAGGCACAGATGTGTGTCCATGGCTTGCTTTTAGTCAGAGCACATTAGCAGCCCAGAGAGCAAATCAGCCCAAGGTCTTCACAGGGCTAAAGCAAACATTCAGGAGAATGTGTCCCTCATGTTCTTACAAAATTTTCCTCCCAGCAAAAGGATCTGCTTTGTTAGATGAGACTTGGAATTAAACACATGAAAGAAACCACTGTTAATATTCCACAGATGATTTTTTAAAAGACACATTTCTCCTTTTGATTTTTCCCCCTCCCAATAGTATATTTTTCGCCACTTGTGGGAGTACTACTCCTAGAAACAGATTTCTCTGAACATGTGCTTTGGCCCTCAAGTCTGCTTTCTGTGAAAGTCTTCCTATCAACAGAAAGAAGATGCAGATAAACACTGGGATGGGATTTCTTAATCTCCCCCAATGTGGGAGTGCCTTTACATTTAGGAAAATGGGACAACAGACAACTTTTTGAATAGAGGACCAGTGAATAGGGACCTAAATGGCAGTGGTATAAGTAATTTCCCTTTAAAACAGCACCTGCATGGGTACTGAACCATCTATTTTGGAATGTGTGCTATAGATCTAGTACCACACACATACCTAACAAGTTGAAGTAATGAACAGCTGTGAATTGCACTGGAATTGCTGCTGTACAACAGTTTGTTCAGTGACGGCTTTAGCAGTTATCAAGAAACAGGTGACAATAAGAGCAGGGTTAAATGTGTGAAAAATGAATTTCAGTTCTCATGGAGCATGAAGGCCTCTGAAACTGAAATCTATCTAAGGATCATACAAGGATCAGGAAGATCTACCTAAGAGAATGGACAGAAGAAACACATTAAAATGACAATACTTAGCAAAGCGGTGACCAAAACAAAATGTTCTGATGTTCAAACCTTTACAAATGAACAGTATGAATTACTGATCACTGTGTTCTTGGGGTTGCATCCAGATTTAGATGAATGCCACTAGGCTGGCAGAAGTGGATCCCTACCCAATCCATCCCTAGACAGCTCTGCTACCTGCCTGAAAACTACAGAAAAGGGGTGAAGAATTATATTGAATGGATATTATAAGGGGACAGAAAGAGATGCCTGGAAATCAGGCAAAGGAACCTTCTGTCAGTGGCCCCTTCCATCCATGTAATGAAGACCCTGCATCCAATCCTCTCTATTGAGTAAAATGAGAGTTTAAAAAAATCTATAGGGGTCTGCACAGCAGAGCACACATGGACCTCATTAGCATACATTTGTACATGACTATGAATGAGGCATCATGGAATACCAGCTGTCACATAAGGAACATCTCTAATGGCTGAGAGGTTGTCCAAGCAAGGGACAAAGAATATTAACACAAAGAATCTCTTATCCATCTGGACAGGCCTTTGTATCAAATAATAATAATAACTATTATTATAATATAATAATTATCTATTCCGTATTATTTTTGCTAGAGTCTTTTAGTTCCTGATTACAGTTAAGTGCATAAAATGGCACATGACAGAACAATCAAAAAAGTGGCCTTTCTGATCCTCCTTTTCTTTGGTTCCTGCCACTGACTCCTTATTTACCAAGTTGAAAACAGATTGCTCTAAAATCTCACAGAGGCTGGGGGAGGGAAGGGTTACCTACCAAAACCTTGTTCAGAGAATGAGTTACTAAAAGAAAGAAAAATTGCAGAGCTACACTATATGAAAACCTGCTTCTCTTACTATTTGTTCTTGGAAAACACATAAAGTGGAATGTATGGTATCCCAGATACTTGTTTTGTTTTAACGAATAGAGCCATCCTTATGAAAAACTATAAATAAGCTAATTAAATATTTCGGTACTATAATGGGAAATTTTGAGTTGCTGCTTTAATATGAGGACAATGGAGGGACTATGGCTTTTTTCTGAGATAATTGGAAGGAATCCAGCCTTCCCAACAGGGACCTCCAGCAAGAATCTTGCAAAACCACCAGCCGCTGCTGTTCTTCTCACGGACTTCAAACAAGGTCCCTTCTTTAAAGCTGCTGGTTTCTTCGTCTCCATCAAAATCGGCCACGGCTACATAGAGGGCTTCTCTGGAGACATCAGAACTAGTGATGGGTGTGGACACTCTCTCCCGCTCCAAGGGCTTGGGCACTGCCTTTTGGCCTAAGCTGCTTTTCATTTTGCCATCCTCTTGGCATGCAGCTGGCAAGAAACCTTTGGCTTTTGGAGGAACCAACATTGGCCTACTTGGCACTGGGGCGGCTCTAACTTCAGGCACTTCCCTCTGTGGAGCTTTGTGTTCTGGAGTAGTGGGAACTGAAGATGCAGGTAATGGCACAGAAGCTTTTTTGGGAGGAGGCGGCCTCCTGGGTGGCACTACAGGCCGTTGAGGTGGTTCTCTGGGAACAGGGAAGGTGGTTTTGGGATCACTCTCGCCTGTCTTTGAGGAGCTGGGAGGGATTTTGGGTAAAGCTGTTTCCTTAAACACTTGGCTGTCTGGTCTGGATGGAGGCCGAACCTCTGCACTTGGCCTTTCCTGAGATCGGGCAGAAGACTCTACTGGAAGCACACTGCTGCTGAAGGCACTCTCACTAGACATGGCATCCTGTTCCGAAGGTTTCTCTTGAGCTTTTGCAGGCCGGAGCTTGCTTCTCAAATTACAGATGTCTAGTTTATCATCAGCCTGAGTAGGAGGATCTGTCCTAAGTGTTGTTGTTGCTGCTGCTGGCTTGGGTCTGATCTGAGGTTTTGATTTCAAGAATGGGTTTTGGCTAGCTGGCTCAGACTTATCTTCCGGGGGCTCAACTTTTGGCTTGTTTGGTTTGACTATGGGCCGGAGATTGGGCTTCTTCACCTCTTTGGGTGAGACCTTATGCCCACACTCTAATCCCATATCATTTTTCAACTGGAACAATTTCCCCTTGTCTGTTTTGAGCTCAGGCTTCTTGCTGTCCCTTGGAGGAATGGTCTGCTTGGGAGGAACTGCAGGCAAAGCCATACCAGGAGGCTTCGGAGGAGGCCTCTGTTCTAAACGTTGCCTTTCCATTAATTCTTCTTCTGATTTAATGATAGATTCTTTCCTAGGAGGGAGGCTTGGTTTCTCCTCTGTATCTTGATCAGAAATCTCCTCGTATCCAACACATGAAGATGCATCATTGCTCTCGGGTGTGGCACCCTTGGAAGCCTCATTCTCCTTCCATTTTACTCCATAGTTTGTGCCATTAGGTGGCGCTTCTGGGAGAGGTCGCGATGGTCCAAGGGGTTCTCCATTCAAGTTGTTCTCCACGGTATTATCGCCCAGCCTCAGCTGTGTCATTTCACTTGGTAGTGGTGCCAAGAAGTTCGGTCTAGAGGCGTTGCTAGTTTTCTTGTATTTATCAATAAAGGTAGCTGGTGCCCAGCCTTCCTTCTCCTCAATCTGAATATACCACCAACCACTTAAGTTCTTCTCAATCACCTGGAGAAAGAAACAAAGTCATCACTCTTTAGACCTTTAGCACCATCACTTCGCTCTAAAACATTGGGTGAAACATTTAAGGGTTAGAAAGGAACAGTTTTGTTAAAATCTGGCATGATATTCTCAATAACTACAAAATTATCAGAAACGAATACTAGGCCTTCATTTGTATAAAGACAGTGGAGAAGGACACCTGAAAATTATTGTATAGCTATACAAGCCCCACTACATGCGCCATTCCAGGTCCATTTCTACTTCACCCTGGAAGGCAGATGATTGGTACAAAGCTGGTGGTGGTGCTTGAAGAAAACGACAGCAGAGTATTCTTCAGAATTGCAGCTGGAGCCAGATTTAGCTTTGGGACCAAAAAATAAAAAAAATTAAAATCCCATTAACTCTTTCACCAGCATTTAGCCTTCATTCTTTTCTGGTGATCCTTTTTTTGTCAGGTCACAGGGTGAACTAAGAACCAGTCCAGTGTATAACCTGTCAGGTGGTGAGATCCAGATCCAGGTTCAGGATACTGCTTGCCTATGGGAACTCACTGGGGGTAGCAGTGGTTTTGGGAGCTCTGAAATGTGACCATATCTCCCTGATTCTCGCCTGCCTGCATTAGCTCCCTGTAAGCATCCATATTAAATTCAAGGTGTTAGTATTGGGACCTCAATACCTGTTGGAAGTGTCTCTCCCAAAAACCTACTACCTGTGCCATCAGTTCTTCCCAGGTGTCATTATTATGAAAGGCTATCCTGAAGGAGGTCCAGAGGACTTTGACTAGGAACTGGGCCTTCTCAGTGGTTACCATGTTGCTCTGGAACACCTTGCCTGTAGAGGGGCACCAGGCCCCCTCCCTTTTAAGTTTCAGAAATCTGGTCAAAACAGAATTCTATAAAGAAGTCCTTTAAGAACATTCTTGCTCTGCCGTGGTGGGTATTTTGGGGGGAGCATAGTGTTTAATTTATAATTTATTTTGATCATCTTATTCAGTTGTCATCATAGGGATTTTCTTTTTAATTTTTATTTGTATATTTAACCACCTTTTAGTTGGAGTTTAGAGTGGGGAGATTTTCTGTCAGGCTCTGAACTGCTCAGAGTACTAGATTTCCATTAGATGTGTGGTATAAAAATTTAATAAATAAATAAATCGCTCCTTAAGCATCTTACATACCTTGAAAACTCTGTGAGTATGACATAGGGCAGAAGTGACCTGACAGCATAAAACAAGTGTGACTCATTAGTAGTCCACCCATTTTAGATTTATTGCCATGAGATGTTTGCATTTTGTATAACTAATTACATCTTAAACTGTAATGATCAGTTATGTGGAAATATTATTTTCTATTATGCAAGTTTTTGATGTTTCCAGAAGCTGCTCTTAGCATTGTTTTTACCTCAGAAAACCAGCATACAAATAAATATAGTGATGATAAGGATGATGGCAATGACAACAAGAGCTGGGCAACTTCCTGACATTGAAAATGGCACCTATCCCACACTGCTGAGAAATGGCACTGCATCGAGTAGGCACTCTGTCTCCCAGAAAAAAACAGTGTTCCACTCATCCTGCCAAGCAAGAGGCTTCTTGAGGGGCTGCTGGGAGCTCAGTTCTGCTGAGGAACAAAGTGCACAAGGAGAGCAATTCTTACATGTTCTGTTCTTTCAGCAGAATCTCTGGCCTTGGAGCAGTAACTACAGTAAGGGAGCGGGGGGAGGGAGTTGTACCAACGGCATGGTGGGTCATGGGTTGACCGTCCCAATTATAGACCAAGATGTTATGCAGGATGCGAAGCAGGAAGAGCAACTTGCATTCAAGAGCACTTATTCACTTATTTCTGCAGCCCTGGGAGATGGCGTATGTAACTATGCCCTTTAGGTGGCAGCATTCTTCCCAATTTGTCTCCTCAGATCTGTGGAGTCTTTTACCTTTCTACCTCACAATCTACAGAGTTTAAGTTTAAGTTGAGGAAGCTCTGAAAGTTTCAGGTTTTCATTTAATGACCTTTAGACCTATTTTAATGTTATCTCTTATGTCTACTTAACATTCTTTTGCTATAGAGCTTCTTTCATATTTGAACAGCTAGAGAAACACATCAAAAATTATATTTCATAGATGCATAAACAGATATTTCATAAGCACATATCTAAATATATAAAATACAAATTTATTCACGTTTACTACACAGATACACTCATAGCAAGAGCCATGTTTGACTGCAATCTCCTGCGTGAATGCATATCCAAGGTTTGTGTTGTTGCTTAGTCGTAAAGTCGTGTCCGACTCTTCGTGAACCCATGGACCAGAGCATGCCAAGCCCTCCTGTCTTCCACTGCCATCTGGAGTTTGGTCAAATTCATGTTGGTAGCTTCGATGACACTGTCCAAACATCTCATCCTCTGTTGTCCCCTTCTCCTCTTGCCTTCACACTTTCCCAACATCAGGGTCTTTTTCCAAGGAGTCTTCTCTTCTCATGAGATGGCCAAAGTATTGGAGCATCAGCTTCAGGATCTGACCTTCCAATGACTACTCAGGGTTGATTTCCTTCAGAACAGATAGGTTTGTTCTCTTTGCAGTCCAGGGGACTCTCAAGAGTCTCTTCCAGCACCACAATTCAACAGCATCAATTCTTCGGCAGTCAGCCCTCTTTATGGTCCAACTCTCAGTTCCATACATCACTACAGGAAAAACCATAGCTTTGACTATGAGGACCTTTGTCGGCAAGGTGGTGTCTCCATTTTTAAGATGCTGTTTAGGTTTGTCATCGCTTTCCTCCCAAGAAGCAGGAGTCTTTCAATTTCGTGGCTGCTGTCACCATCTGCAGTGATCACAGAGCCCAAGAAAGTAAAATCTGTCACTGCCTCCATATCTTCCCCTTCTATTTGCCAGGAGGTGATAGGACCAGTGGCCATAATCTTTGTTTTATTGATGTTGAGCTTCAGACCGTTTTTTGCACTCTTCTCTTTCACCGTCATTAAGAGTTTCTTTAATTCCTCCTCATTTTCTGCCATCAGAGTGGTATCATCTGCATATCTGAGGTTGTTGATATTTCTTCTGGCAGTCTTAATTCTGGCTTGGGATTCATCCAGCCCTGCCTTTCGCATGATGTATTCTGCATATAAGGTAAATAAGCAGGGGACAATATACAGCCTTGTCATACTCCTTTCCCGATTTTAAACCAATCAGTTGTTCCATATCCAGTTCTAACTGTTGCTTTCTGTTGCTTCCTGTCCCATATAGATTTCTCAGTAGATAGATAAAGTGGTCAGACACTCCTGTTTCTTTAAGAACTTGCCATAGTTTGCTGTGGTCCACACAATCAAAGGCTTTTGCATAGTCAATGAAGGAGAAGTAGATGTTTTTCTGGAAAACTCTGGCTTTCTCCATAATCCAGCACATGTTAGCAATTTGGTCTCTAGTTCCTCTGCACCTTCAAAATCCAGCTTGTACTTCTGGGTGTTCTGAGTCCACATACTGCTGAAGCCTACTTTGTAGGATTTTGAGCATAACCTTGCTAGTGTGTGAAATGAATCCAATTGTACGGTAGTTGGAGCATTCTTTAGCCTTTCCCGGACATTCAGATCTTTCTAGTATCATTCCTCTGTGTATTTTTGCCGCCTCTTCTTGATGTCTTCTGCTTCTGTGAGGTCCCTACTATTTTTGTCCTTTATCATGTCCATCTTTGCACAAAATGTTCCTTTAGTATCGCCAATTTTCTGGAACCGATCTCTGGTTTTTCCCTTTCTATTATTTTCCTCTATATCTTTGCACTGCTCATTTAAGAAGGCCCTCTTGTCTCTCCTTGCTATTCTTTGGAAGTCTGCATTCAATTTTCTGTAACTTTCCCTATCTCCATTGTATTTTGTTTGCCTTCTCTTCTCTGCTATTTGTAAAGGCTCGTTGGACAGCCACTTCGTTTTCTTGCATTTCCTCTTCATTGGGATGGTTTTTGTTGCTGCCTCCTGTACAGTGTTATGAGCTTCCATCCATAGTTCTTCAGGCACTCTGTCCACCAAATCTAATTCTGTCCTTAAATCTGCATAAACTTGGATTATTGTGATGTTGAAAGGTCTGCCTTGGATTCGTACTGACATCATTCTATCATTTTTGAGATTGTATCCCATTACAGCTTTTCCCATTCTTTTGTTGACTATGAAGGCTACTTCATTCCTTCTACGGGATTCTTGCCCACAACAGTAGATATGATAATCATCTGAGCTGAATTCGCCCATTCCTGTCCATTTTAGTTCACCGACGCCCAGGATGTCAATGTTTATTCTTGCCATCTCCTGTTTGACCACACCCAGCTTACCAAGGTTCATAGATCTTACATTCCATGTTCCTATGCAGTATTTTTCTTTGCAGCATCGGACTTTCCTTTCACTTCCAGGCACATTCGCAGCTGAGCATCCTTTCGGCTTTAGCCCAACCACTTCATTAACTCTGGAGCTACTCGTACTTGTCTTCCACTCTTCCTCAGTAGTATGTTGGACACCTTCCGATTTGAAGAACTCACCTTCCAGCATCGTATCTTTTAGCCTTTTGTTTCTGTCCAAGGAATTTTTTTGGCAAAGATACTGGAGTGGCTTGCCAGTTCCTGCTCCAGGTGGATCGCATTTAGTCAGAACTCTCCACTATGACCTGTCCGTCTTGGGTGTCCCTGCACGGCATAGCCCATAGCTTCTCCGAATTACTCAAGCCCCTTCACCACAACAAGGCAGTAATCCTTGAAGGGGTTATCCAAGGTTACCTCTGTATCAAATATGAAATGGCCCAGATAATGATGCAAATTAAAATTAAACACTTCCAGGTGACATATGTCACATATGGGAAGAGTAGACCTTTGGTCTAGTTTGGAGGGGTATAAATCTAATAAAATAAAATAAATAAAATAAATATTCCTGTGCAGGATTGTTGAAGCATGCAAAATGCATGCACACATGTACAGAGCACCAGAAATAGTGAACCATCTTCCAAGTCAAGTCACATTTGCAAAAAATAAAGGAAAAAGGGAAAAAAGAGCAGAATTGTTATTATGGTCACTAGATGTCAGTATTGAATCACCAGTAGGATCCTAATCGGTTCAAGATAGAGTCAGCTGTTAGTAATATTCACATTTCTGGGTTTATCAAATTAACAAAGGGAGAATCACACAAAGGAAAAACTGCAAGTTCAGGTTGTGCTGGATCAGACCAAAGCTTCTATAGTCTAGCACTGTTTTCCCACAGTGACCCAACAAATGCATAGGGAAAGCCCCAAAGCAAGGCATTCATCCAATAGCAATTATGAGTTTTTAGGGCCCAGCACATGGTAGTCAGAGATAAATTGCCCCAAGCTCAGTCACCAACATGTAACCCCTGTGACTGCTATCCACTGCCAGCCTTTGTGGAGGCATTCTTTCAATGGCCTTTGGGGATCTAAATAAACAATATCCACAAAATCACTCTTGTCCATCTGTTTGCTCAGTTCGAAAAACACTCTGTATTGGTCAGACAGGAGTTAGCATTACAGAAGCATTGATTCTTTGTCAGCAGGGCTTATCCCTTTGGGTCTATTGGCCCAAATCCTGTTGCTTAGGTATACTTGGAGAAAGCAAACAGCTTAACTTGCAGCAAATTTTCACTCCTCATTAATGAGACACACACCCCTTGGATTTTTGGGCACCTACCAGTCCAGGAGGGCCTGCCGTGCTCTGGTCCATGGGGTTACGAAGAGTCGGACACGACTAAACGACAACCAGTCCAGTGGGGACTCATTAATTGTAACACCATTTAACACTGCACATATAACAGTGCAACAGGATTTTGGCTACTAACTTGATAATTTTATCTTTACACATACTTCCTATCAATTTATGCAGGACATTTCACTAACTCAATTTTAATTTCCAAGATCTGCCCAGATCCATTTTACAAAACAGGTTGTCACATTCGCCACTTTCTAGTACAGAGGCCTGTCTTGGGGACATTTAATATATTTTTATTATAGGGCTGGGAATTTAACATTTGAGTTCTTTAAGACGCCTTGTGGGATACCATTTATGATGATTTGCTGGCTCTCAATTCATCAATAAGATCTGGATTATTGTTCCTTGTCTCTTAATATTTGCTTCAGGTCCTCACACTCCCTTCCCAAAAAGTAACAGCTCAGGCAAAGCTATCTACTCTCCATCTTCTGTGGTCAGAACTGCTAAAATTAATTCATATAGCTTCTCTGTAACCTCCTCCTCCTCCTCCTTTATAATTTCTTAAACCCCCTTGTTATTTTATAGTCCAACTGAGCTCTAGTCAATTTCTTTATTTCGACTATTTAAAGGATGTTTTTAATGGTTGATCTCAATCTTCTCATTGAAGTGCCTCTCAGTTTTGGTTGCATGTTCCATCCCTAATGGACAGATGGGCGCCTGCCTTTCATATGTCCTATAATCCCCCCTTGCTGGGGCGCCAGTTAGACTACAACACTAAAAGATTCTCATCGCTGCACACAAAAGGGGATGTTCTTCGCTGCTCACCAAGCTTTAGACCAATGTCACACCTCATCATCTGAGAGAAGCAGCTCCCCATTCACACCCACTGGGAAGGTACCTCCAAGCTCACACAACAAGCAGTGGGACTGTTGGTGTGCATGGGTCAACCTTATCAGAGACCTATCAAGATCTGGCCTATTCAACGATGATTCCCTGGCAGTCCTGTCAGAAAAGAGAACTCCTCTTGAACAAAAATACGCTATTGTACTGAACCATTTCAAAGATCTCATGAGGGATGGCGAAGGGCGGGCAGACCTACCTCTACTTTCATTCCTGCTTGGAAGCTGATGCCATCAGGGATAGTGGTTGGAAAGTCAGCAATGGTGTAATACTCTTCTTCCACTTGGGGAGGCACAGGAGGCTTAGGCAGGTTGAGGCCACGTGGCTGTTGCATACACACACAAGACACAAAACACACATCAGCACATTTTCATCCAAGCAACACAAGGCACACTATACTCTGGAGGTCCAGGGGAAAGGCAATGTATAGCAAGCAGGTTCAAGGGGCTCTACTGATTTCACAGCTGCCATGCACACAGATAGCAGTATTTAAGCCCGCAAAGGATCGAAGATCTCTGCTGAACCTGGGAGCAAAAATGAAACCCCAGAACTCACAGCATTCGCCTCAAAGCAGAGATTTAAGTACTGGAACCTTCAAAATGGGCACATAAGCAAAGCATGTAAGAAATGTGTTGATTCCGTGGATGTTCTGAGGATAATAATCTACCCATTCATCTCCCAGGAAGATGGGGGTGGCTTAGGGCAACATGTTTTTTCACATTGCCAATTTGATTTTTCCAAGTCATGGTGCTCTGTTTCAAACTACCATATCTTATAAGATCGCCACACACACTTTTCTAACCCAAATTAAGAAATCAATGTTTTAAATGTAAAACAGAACACATTTTATTTTTAGTAATTAGGTAACATTTACATACCAGTACTGTCATATTATGCATCACACTTAGCTTTGAGCATATCACTTTATTCAGCCTCTGGGCTCAGAAAGCTCGGACATTACCAGTCCCTGTTGCATCTGAGCACTGCCTACAGGCTCCACCTCCAACGAGGTGTGTTCCAATTGGTTTGTTCAGGATCAGCTGATGTCAGTTCCATAAGACTCATGATTGGAGGAAGCTAAGTCTCCTGGCTGCAGGAAACTAATCCTCATGGCTGAAGGAAGCCTGTTTGCAGAGGCAAGGTATGGGCAGTTTTGCAAGCCCGTGGTTCTCCCCTCAGTTTACTTCAGTGTATAAGAAGACCCCCAATTTTGAATCTAGAGATTTTAAACAACAGTATCATCTTATACATGGAAAAATATGGTGCATCCAAGGTGACAATGGGTAAGCATGGGAAAATGCAGTACTCTAAGTAAAATGAGAAAGGTCCTCATTTCACTCACAAAAAGGTCTCCTTCCCCCTAAACCTCTGCCTTCCATTTGTTTTTCTTTGTCCGTTTAATTTTGTTCGTTGCTTTTTACATATGAGCGCAAAGGGGCTCCTTCAGTAAAAATCATATAGGTCAGGGGGGTTGGGAGGATGTGCAGCCCTCTGAGGTTCCTAACTGGATATGTGCTGTCTCTAAACCTCTGGAAGCTGTTTATCTTGAAAAAACTTTCTCTGGACCATTCGTCACATTATGAATGAAATGTGCATTCTCCAAGCAGTCATGGTATATAAGAAAGAAGGCTCATTTTGTGTAACACCTGTATCAGTCGGAGCCAAATACATAAAGGGATCGTAGGCAAGCACATCAAGAAAGCTTCTCATGCTGTAATTTTCTTTGAAAGCATGGAAAAGTTATTTTTTTGGAATACAACTCTCAGAATCCTCCAGCCAGCGCAGGTGGGGGAGGGGAGGCAGTCTGAGAACTGTAATCCCCAAAAGTAACTTTTCCAAGCTCTGCATTTTGTGTGTGGGTACCAACAACATATATACACAATGCTTGCTCTTTCTTATTGCCATCTTCTGCTTTAGAAATATTAAACATTTTGGATTAATGGCCAAATTCGATTCTGAGTATCACTTATCCCCATGTATTTTTAAAAAGGAAAAACAGCAAGATAGTCATAACACATGTGGAATATGTATGTTTTGCACTTAGAAATCTCTGCAAAAGCACACAATTTAGTAAGAGAAATATCCCTTTCCTGATGTTTTACATATACAGTTCTTTTAAAGCACAAATGTAGATATACACCAACACTGCCTAATTAAGCCCAGCTAAGAACAATACTTACTATTGTGAGATCTCGACGAGGAGGGGGCCTCTGCCTCATTTGGGGTGACTCTGTCAAGAAAATACATAACTGTGATCCAAAGATATAGAAAGGGAAAGGAAGATAAAAATGACTTCATCATTCTAGCACAACTGTTGGGGGAGGCTGCATCCTTGCGTGGGGGCAGGGCACTCTACGCGTTCAGGGTGGGCGGGCAGGGCAGCCATACACACGTGCACAGGTGGTCAGGGTACCCGTGTATGCAGGGGAGCATGCATGCTTGTGTGTGTGCATGGGGGGGCAGCAGATTTGTCTCCACAGGCCAGTACTGGGCTGCGGACCAGGGGTTGGGGACCCCAGTTCTACATAACACAGGGGAAAGGTAAAGAAAGTCCAGTTAGGCATTTCCATCTATGTGAGAATGTGTCAAGACAGGAATTTTTCCTTATGTATAAACCTATGAAATCCAGGATAATCCGGGACCCTAGAGTCAAATCTCTACCATCCAGATATCTCCTACTGAAGCTGAGAAATACTTCATTAGAAGCAGACATTTTCACGACAGAGCATGTGGAGGATGAGGCATGTTGAAATATTATCTGAAGTGGAAGAAGGCCACAGTTCACTTTTTTTTACCCAGTCCTCAATCAGATAAGGAAACTGGGATAGCACAGCACTCAAGATAGACACACAACTCACTCTCAGTCTTCCTGGCCTGTTCTGAACATCCGTCCTGTGCTCACCCAACCACTGACTCTTTAAAGAGGCCACCATGCTCTAGAACAAAGTGAGAGTCCAGACCAGAGTCCGCATTCCAATTAGAGAAGAATCTTGGACTACATCCTAGAAACTGGCAGAGCTATGGTTGGGGCCAGAGCAAATGGGTCAAGCCAGATACAACTCTTACGAATCTGCTGCAGATCTGCTCCAGACGTGCAAACCTTCCCAGTCTGCAAATTGCAGATCCAGTTCCATGCAAGTCCTTTTCCAGCTTTAAACAGGTTTCTTACCTCTGATAATCAAGGCAAAAAAGCTGTGCAGGCTGGATAGGGAATCATCACAAGCTGAATTAGACTCACAGGCTGGAAATGCCTCTCCTCTGTTCTATATGCTTTCTACATCAAATCCAGCTACCTTTGCCCACAAAGTACAAAAACCTTGGTCACTGCTCCCAACTTACTTCGCCTAAGGTCCACATTTGGCAATGGGCGGCTATCAAATCTCCCATCTCTTTGGTTGTTTGGCCCCTCCTTATCTCGACTTGCTGAGTTCTGCTGCCGAGAAATTCCATCCAGATCCAATGCATATGAATGGGTAGAAACTGCAGATCCTGGTTTTGGTGTGAACATGTCTCCACTCCCTTTTTTAAGGTAGGATGCTGGAGCCCAGCCTTCTTGACCCTGATACCTGAAAGCAAACAAACCAGCTATTAGTCAAATCATATAAACTCCTGCCTTGCTATTAATCTGTCTCCAAATACCTGACGCTCCAGAGCAATACAGTGGACCCTTGACTTACAGACGGCTCGACTTACAGACTTTTTGAGTTACAGACTTCTCTGGCCGCAAAATTTAGGTTTGACTTGCAGCCTGAGAATTGACTTACAGACCAGAAAAAAACCAAAATAGAACAAAAATGGCCTGTTATGGGATTAATCAGTTTTCAATGCACTGTAGGTCAATGGAGACTTGACCTACAGACTTTTTGACTTGAGAACCGCCTTCCAATACGGATTAAGTTCTCAAGTCAAGACCCCACTGTACCCAAAATGCATTACCAATGTTCTCTTCCCTTAAGTTCTAAGGTGACCAACTACAGAAGAACAGAATGGCTTTCTATTTCAATTGTCTGTGTATCTGACAGATACTCCTATGGGCTATTAAATATTTCACAAGATTTCATACCTTCACAAATAGGAATGTCTACGAATAAGATGATGGGTTTCCCACTTATTTGTACATACAGGACCAAGATATTTGTGCCCCCTTCCCAGAGAAACATACAAGAAAACCTGTGAGCAGTAGCCAGCCTGCTGGTCAGGAATGGGTGACAACACACAGCAGGGATACACAGCTTGCAGTCCCCTACTACTGGACAGACCTCACCCAATTTTCACTGCAGCCTTAAAGAGAATCACCTAACCTGTGGCAAGGAAATGGCAACACTTGCAAGACAGACAAACTAAGGCTGCACTATGTATTTAGCAAATACGTGCAGCCTGAGCAGACCACGAGGGCCTGCAGTATTCCTGTAATGTGCAAAGTGTAAAACCCTTTTCTCATCATGTAGAATATTTTACACATATACGTCACAGAGATCAAAGGGAAATCACACCTCCTTTTGGCATAAAAATGGGAAAAGGAAAGGGCTTTCACATATTACAACCTGCTATCGGGTCGCCATCTTGGTATGACGATCTATCAGAAAGAAAATACAGAAGCACGTGGTGTAAAGAAGTGCAGACTCTTTTTGTAGCACATAAAAGAGGAAGAGATTTGCTGTTTTTAAGCTGCTTCCTGCACAATACAGAGAACTCCAGTTGTTCACCTTGCACAGTTTACTTTCTGTGAACTAAACCATTTCTTTCCCCAAAAAAATCTATCCAAGGCTTAGCCTTCAGTGATTCAAAAGCCACATCCAACAATCACAACTGCCATAGATCAAGGACTGATACCAGCTGTGGGGAAAGGCCACCTCACTGGCCTGAGGCAAAGATGCCGCAATCAGATGGGTGCCAGCTGATGTTGTGGCTTTAAAAGACTTGAGCTTTTCTGGAACATACTTTGCCTGTTTAAAATGTGCATATATGCTTCTCTCCCCTAGTGTGGTGATTGCCCACGCTACAGGTTCAGTGGGATGCTATAGAAATCAAAGCATGGTGCTTGGCTTACTCAACAAGTTATTTTCTTAGAACATCACCATGCCAGGATTAAAACTAACTGAACCAGAAATGTTTCTTGCTGAATACACTGTGGCATTTCTTTATGATTGTCAAGGTGAGTCTTGCAAAGTAACGGGTCTCAGAAGACACACCCACCAGCAACAGATTCTGCAGGTTTATGCTGAACAGACTACATTCTACATGAAGTTTATTACTTTGAATCTGGAGACAAGTTGTTTCTCCAAACAAATCTGAAAGCAAAGATGGGATTCTACAGAGACTTCTAGAGGTTATAGGCAGGGCTTTGTTCTACTGCCTGTCTTTCAGTACTTTTCCCTGTAGTCAAGAACTAATAATAACAATAACAATAGCACCAGCACCAGCACCAGCAACAACAACAGCATTCTGTCAAATGAATTCTGATTTATGGTGATCCTTTTCAATGTTTTCTAGGTAGAGAATAGAAGGGGTTTACCCGTCCCTTCCTCTGGGGGTGCCCTGCGACTATACAGCTCGCCCATGGCTACACAGGCTGGCTTTTCTCCCGGGAGACAAAGTGGGGAACTGAATTCCCAACCTCTGGCTCCGAAGTCAGATACTGCCAGCACAGCATATTCAGTCAGCACACTGTAGTTTCAACCCAATCCTGAACCACACATCAGTCTAATTTGCAGAGATTTAGGAGATGTCTGGATAAATGCAGTATCCTCTGAAACGGACGAAATCAAACTCTCAGTCTTCCTAGAGTTTCATGTTTAATTTAGACTGAGAGTGATATAGACATAGCATGCCTGCAAAAACTGGCTTTTAGCATATCACATGACCCAACGAAGGCATACTTCTCATTACAAAGGCCTCAAATAGTGTCATTCAAAGCAACTATAACACTCAATCATATTGAGTGGCCCTTAAGAAAACCATGGAGACAAAAAGCACAAGAAACAGACATGCCACATGCAAATCAAATGGATCAATCTGTGCAACAATTGGCTTTTTTAGCTGAGGATGGAACTTAAGAGTTATCATGTCCTTGCATTTGTGTACTAAAATATTTAGGACATTTGTGTACTAAAATATTTCCTGTATTACATAACTGGTTTACAGGAAATCTCTACAAAAGGATGTGGTTTAAGCCACAAATCTAGCAGGATGTGAGGAATTACCCCAGCTTTAATATGCCATTCTTCAACTTGGGCCACTTGTGTTTGTTGTAGACATAAAAATCTTTGGCTCAAGTGACGGCATCTATGCGTTAAAGAAATGCTAATCTGATTCAAGAGTTGTTTATTGGTTTTATCAGACACCACTAAGCAAATGGGGGAAAAACACAATTTTAATTTTCTTCGATCTTTCACTCCCAAGTTTACAAATACAATTTCCCCAAAAGGAGAATAACCAGAATCCTATTGTAGATTTAGCTAGCTTAAGTGTAATTATGTAAATTGAGGTGCCATAGACTAATGAATTGCTGACTGCATTCCTGGTCAAGTGCTAAGTTGTATTACAGGTAAAGCTAAAAATGAGAGTAGCAATTCATTAATTAGCAGCAATTTGTGCTGCAACTTAATGCAATTACACTGTGAAAGATTCTGATCATTCTTGTTTATAGCTCATCAACTTTGGAAGCCATTTACAAAACATATCATCTCTCCCTTAGTCTATGGCCAATTACTTTAACAAGGCAGCTAAGAGATACAGTACAGGTATATAGACAAAAAGAGCAGCCCCTATGTATTTATTCCTTATCCTCAAGAATCTGTGGTGTTTAATTTTTGCCTCCCTAAAGCCAGACAAAACATGATAGAGTGCATTTCTATGTATTTACATAATTCTGGAGCCATGCACATCTTAATTTAAATAGGCTTCCTCATACCCTTTCCCTGATACAAAAACATTGCATTCCTAATTGGCTTTTGCAAAACAGAAAAGACCATTAAGATGTTGTTATCTAAATCCTATCTAATAGGATTTTGACCATCCTATTAAAAAGAATGCAGTTTGCCCCTTGTATGCTGAAGTCTCTCCCTCCTATCAATTTTTCCTGACCTTCATCACAAAACATACCTGATTTTCCACCATCCTTCCAAGTTTTTCTGGATCACCTCCACTACAGCCCCTTTCTCCAGATTTATTTCATCTTGGTCTCGAGAAGTGTAGGGATAAATTACCATATATTTCTCTTCTGTTCAAAGTAAAATATGACAGAGAAGGGGATAATCAAGAACAAAAATAAACAAACTAACTCTTGTTGGAAGACAGTGTTCTTTTTAAAAACATTCAATCTTAATTTAATTCAGCATTCTGCAGGTACAGGAATATCTGCAATCAGATTTATCATTCACCTGGTAACCAGTTCAGGACCTTAACCACACAACGTAATAAAAATCTAGTAAAAGCTTCTGAAGTCAGAGCTGCATAACTTGTGAATTTTCCTCAACAAGGTTGCAGGGTGTGTGTGTATGTGTCATGGTAACACCAAATATATAAGGTGTTCAGCAGATTTCCAGCCAAGGTATGCAAATCGTTCTCTGTGGCTTGTCTTTCTAAAGAGGAGAAAAGCATGGACCAACTATGCTTGCATGAAAGAAAACAGCAGCAGAAGCACAGCAATCTGACTGCACCAAAAGAGAAGCAAGAAATCACATGCACATCAAACATCTACACTGTTGCTACAGAGTGACTGCTGCCAGGTTTCTCCATCAGTATCCAATACTCATCTGCGCTCTACACTGTTCTTTCATAGATCCATGGAGTTTGAAACCTCTACTTTCACTTTCTCATTTTTATTATTGATCAGTATCCATCTTTCTCTGCTTTGGAAACACTGTATCGGAACTACAGTATTCAGGATAAAATTGCACTGTAGACTCCACTCTATCTTGTATGTTATGTGCTGTCAAGTCAGAACATATTTTAAGGAGCAGTCTTTACACTAGTGTCACACACCGCCAGTGAACTTCCATGAGTGAGCATGGTTTGTACCCGTCTCTTGAGTCCTAGCCCAACACCTTATCCACGACACTACACAATTTGTGTTTAATTGTAATTTTTCACTTAAAGCACTTCCGAAAATCTAATCGCCACTTTGGCTAATATAAACCTTGACGTACTCCTTGGTAAACTGTTTTGTGCCAACTCAGAGGCTAGTGTGTTTCACCCAAAGCAAAACACAAATCTCCAAAAAGCAGGTGGCCTTTGTATTTTCAGAGAGACCCATTATTTCTTTCACTCAGTATGCGCCGCTATGTAATAGCTTTACCTACCAATGACTCAATTCATTCAGTGCACAATCTCCGCCTTGAGAACAAATATGAACAACTAACTGCATGGCTTCATTCCATGTGGCCTCATTCTAGATTCCCCTGCTTCTTCCCCCATGCCTTGCATTTCAAACTATTAGCCTGATAAAGGTGCGGGAGAACATGAAAGGTTAGTTGCCATTAATAAAAGGAACTGACCAACTGTAGATTTTTAAAAAATTCTTAATGGACTAGTAAACTTTTTTGTTTATTTTGTTTGTTTTGTTTATTTAAACATTTCTATTGAGTTCTTAATGATTGCACTCACAGAAACAGAAGAAACATTTTGGGGTAATATAGTCTGCTAGCTTGAACAGTTACTTCAAACATCTGCCATGAATTTTTGGGGCACTCGTTTAAAACTTTCCTACACTAACCACAACATATTGGTGCATAGCCTAAAGAAGTGGACATGATACACAAAAGCTTGCTGATTGATTTTTAGTGGTCTAATAAAGGTATAATTTATTTCTGCATTTTTATTGTTTAAGAATTACACAGCATTCTTTGTTTATTTCAGTATTAAGATTTACATAACCACCAGAATTTGTAGCTTTATTGGCAATAAAATGTCTTGAATAGACTGAATGTACAACCAGTATGGTCCCCAATGTGCTTTCAAAACATTCACCACAACTGTTTTAACTCTGTTAGGCCATCAGTACACCATGTCAGAAGTATATTAGCAGAATATCAGCAGCAATGAACACACTAAACCAGGGGTCAGGAAACTTTTTAACCTTTTACCCCCCAAAAAATTTATATACGCCAGCATTACCCCCTTGATTTGAAAGGAAGAAAATCATACATTATTTAAATTCAAAATATTGAATCTACACAGGCTGTGTACTGAACTAGCGGGATATATCATCAGTATCAATGGCTGCCAGGCTATGTACTGAACTAGCAGGATGCACCAAATTTAATAAAAGATGTGGGAGTGGGTGGGTAGGGGGCAGCACTCTACTCATTACCCCGAGGATTTTCATTTTTACCCCATTTGGTTTAGGCCATCAGTACACCATGTCAGAAGTATATTAGCAGAATATCAGCAGCAATGAACACACTAAACAGATGCTATGACATCAGGACGCAACGAGAAATGCAAGGAAAACGGGCAATGCCTGAAAGCCTTCAGGGCCCCCACTGTATCCAATACTTCTATAGTGGCCTTCTTTTTGTTTCTAGATTGACTGAAACTAGTTGTAAACCCAATACAAAAAGCGAATGCTTAAATAAGTCACATGGTGAAGCCCAAAATTCGTATGACATTAAATTGAATCTTTGCATTTAACAGGCAGGTTTTTAAAAATCTTTAATAATGGGGATAGAAAGGGTTAAATATGTTGGACCAAGAAATGGTCAAGAGAAAGAGTTTTAACAATCTCTCCTTAATAATAAGGTTTATTCACCTGAATGGTTACTGCTACTGAATACTTACAGATGTTGCAAGAGCAATTATGAAAGTTGCCATAACAAATTGGCCTGAACTAACAGGCTGTTAGGCACATGCCAAATGCACAATCAATTGTCAAACTCACTCATAAACTGTGCTTTGTCAATTACCCACAGCAACCTCTAAGACTACTCTCCTGTGTGTGATAAGATTCTAGCCAGTAAGTACCGAGACACATGGCCAGCTAATTCTTATGACCATGGTCTCCTCAAAGTATGATGTTCCAAGGGAGATAATCAATTGTCAGAGGTATCAATAGTTGACTGCAAAGCAAATTACTCCTTCACTTTCAACAGATCAGATTGGTGTGCCTGTTAGCCTAGCCCCTTCTATAAAGAGTTACAAACTATCAGATTTGATATACTGATCTAATATTGTTATGCCTAATTGATCGTGCATGGCTTTACTTCAATCAAAGGGAGAAAAAAAGAGTGCCGATAAAGGATCACAGCAAGTATGGAAGGGAAATTCAAGTCCTCTTGAGGGGGGAAAGTCCCCACCACATCCTCAGCAGATACCAGCTTCAGAAAAGGACTAGAGCTGATGAAATGGCTTATTTTCCATTCTGTGGCTACTACATCCCAGTAATTATTAGCTCATTCACCTGGTTAAACTTGCACCTCACAATTTTTTAAAATGTAAATTTGAACTTAATGTCAAATCTAGTTTGCTCCCAAGCAAGGCACTGAGGAAAAGAGCATTTAGACAGGAAAGATTTAAACTTTGAGATGTAAATCTCACAGCATGTCATACTCTGCAAGCAGGGGAAAAAACCCTATACCATTACACCGAGATCTCTCTGTGAGAGATTTCTTTTTGTTCTTCCACAGATTACACTGTTTTGCAAAGAGCAGTGCCCCATTCCACACAAAATATCAAGTTAGACTCTTGCATGTGGAATATGCCATCTCATAAAAGAAAGGCTTGAATTCTGCACACATGTTCATCTCCTGTACAAAAATTTGCAAGAAAACCTTTTCCAAAACTTCTGTCACAGAAACATCAGACTTGTTATTTTTACTGAGATCAAAGTGCTTTTCTGAAAAGGAAGGAAGGAAATATCAGCTGCTGTGAGATGGGTTTTTCTTCACAGATACAGTAGGACCTCCATATCCATGGTGGATTGGTTTCAAGTCTCCCCAACTGTAAAACATGGATTATAGCAAATGGTATTTTAAAAGTGCACACTATACATAGTATGGTCTCTATCTCTATCTAGTGGCCAGTTCTGGTAACTTTGTCTGTAGATTTTTCTTTTAATATTTTTTCTTTTAAGATTTAATATTTTTTCTTTTAAGATTTTTCTTTTAATATTTTAAATAATTTTCAGACTGTGGATAAGTGAATCAGCAGATACTGATCCAAGGGATAAAGGGGTCCTACTGTACTACAAAATTTCCTGGAAAAGAACCATCCAATAAGTAATAGCCATGTTATTCTTCCATTGTTTTCTCTGCAGAAAAAGAACTTTGCCCTATGCAGCTCAATTTCTATCTTTTGGAGAGAGAGAGAAAAAAAATAGGTGAAACTGTTTTTCTCACAGGAAACCTCCCCCCCTTATTTTGCACAAAATATTTTTAGAAGTTTAAAAGAGAGAGACCAGCCATCTTGCACCCAAATGATTTTTTTGAGAGGGGTGTTGAGGAGTCTTGGCATCACAACACAGGGAAATGTGCAGAGAATGAAAAAAAGAAACAAATTGAGCATTCAATACACATGTACTAGGACCAGCTGAGCAAAGGCTTAACATTTATGACAAGCAGTGCAAACAAGAAATATAGAGGATGGATCTCAATAAATAAAATTTCTATCGCATGCAGTAAGGCAGGCAAACACCACAGAGGGTGGGTGGCACATGCAGAAACAGAGGCAGGCAGTTCAAAGCACAAAATAAGGCCACAAGAAGAAATCTCCACCAAATCCACCTTGACCCCATCCACTGGTGTACAAATCCCCAAAAGTCCGACGGCGGCCCACATGTCTGGGAAGAGACCAGTATCTCCATGTGACTGGGAGGAGCATGTTGGGGAAGCAGGAGAGGGATAAAACAAGGTGTAAGAAGGTAGCCCTTCATATTCTGAAGTTATCAGCCTTGTTTAAAAGAGCAGCCCATGATGAATAACAACACATCTTGCTCCCTCAACAATCCACATACAATAGGTTGGATACCTTGCTCAACAAAATAGACTTCATGCTAAAAGGACAAGTAGCTGCACCTCTAGGTTCTTTAAAGCAAACATATGGTAATTTTTTAAAAAAAAATGCTTGTAAGAATGTGGGACATCAGATTTTGAGATTAGGTTTCAGGAATGCCTGAAACAAAATCTGAAGTGAGGGTGTTTAGGCAATGGTGCCTTTAATTTCTAACCTTGGTTTCCCCACTGATTCCTTCATCTTTTTTCTGCCCCACAAAAATCTAGGGAATGAAAGTCAGAATAGTTCCACGGTGCCTTCTGACAGATAGTATTAACAGATCTCCATCTGGAAGGAGCCATTTCCTTAAAAGCACTTAGGTCTGTTTTGCTAATGTTGGTCATCCTTTTGTTTCATCTTCCACCTAAACATCAGAATTTACCACGGAAAATATTTAACAAATGTCCCAGAAGTGCAGTAATTAATCTTGTAGAATTGCTAAAATTAGGTGGATGTCAACTTGGTCAGTCTTGGGAGGGAAGACCATTGGGTGTTACACAGACTACTCAAGGCCTTTCAGTCTGAATAATTAAGATAAATATATATATATAACATGTAAAATGGACAAAAGCAAAATGCAGCTGTCCTGATCGATTCTTCCCATCCCATAGAAATTATATAATCACCCACACAGGGTATCTTTAGTTTGGAACCTGTGTCCTTTCCATCATGTGTAGCTTGTGGCTCATGGATAGAGGAACACTCAGGTGCTGAAAGATGCGGGGGGGGGAGGCATCCTCCAAATAAGTCCGACAGCATCACTCTGTCTGACAATTAGATAAGGTGGCCTGCTAATAACAGGAATATAATACCAGTACTTCAAAAATGTCTTGCCTTTAAGCCATTTCAGGATTTTTCCTTCCTGGATTTTTTTTTTTACTGGCTCAGAATGATTTAAAGAATGAGGCTAGTATAACAATTCAGACTGCTGAGGGGACTGTTGTTGGGAGGGGTTTCTAGAGCTGTCTTCTCACCTTCTTCAGGCTGCATTGAAAATTCGTCCTGGGCACCATCTTGAATTTCTAGGCATGTAGCTGGGACCCATCCTTGTTCATCCAATGTGCTCACAAACCACCAGCCTAACAATAAGAGAAGGCAGCGTTAGTTGAAGAACCGCAGTGAACTCTAGGTCTGAATAACCATCCATCTGACAGCCTTCAAGCAACCTCCTCTTTTATTTAGGGTGCGGCAAGAGAAAAATAACCCTTCTTTGCCACAGTTCACTATCTGAAGTACTGAAGAAAGACTCAACCATCTATGCATCCAGGGTGATACATTACACTTGCAACTCCGGAAATATTAAGAATTGTTTTCAGACCCTCTACTGCAACTGTCCCCAATCTTCAGTAACCCAGGCACTCTTAAACTGCAGCTCCCAGAAGACTTCACCAGTAGTGGTTTTAGCCAGGATTTCTGGGAGCTGTAGTCCAAGGACACTTGGGCTGCTCAAGATTGGGGACCAATGCTCTATTGGAAAGCTGTAGTACACTCCATTACTAGAGTTGGGGGGGTGTCCTTCTCAAGCTAGCCGGTGTCAAGGGGGCATGAACATGTTTTGCCTCCACCACAATATTGTCTTCAACCACGCAAGTGTTATTTTCTTCCACAATGAACGATAGCAATTTACTCATATGGGGAAAAATCAGAGACAGTTTTAGGGTTAGTGATTTGTGTTAATGCCCCTAGAAATCCACCTTTCTGGAGTGTGAAGGAAATTCTGCTTCCTCTCAGCTGGTCCAAGAGAGCAGACTGTAATATCACACAGAACCACACAGGAATCAGAGAATGAAGTAAAACCCTGTTTGCACAGCCCTGGCTTTTTATTTCTTTTTCACTACACTAAAGAATGAATGTCTTTTGGAAAACAGTGAAGAAGTGCAAGGAGATGCTTGTTGTACACAGTTAATAAATTTTACTTATTTAGACTTCCCCTGTATCTTATAAAGCTTGAACAGTAAACCCAGAATAATAAATACTATAACTCCATTCATTATGCACTTTTTACATTAATTTAGAATGCGCATAATTAATGATTTGACCTGAAAACTAAGTTGTTCAATGAACAACTATGAAATAGCGAGATGACACAAAGCAAACCAAGATGAGAAATTTATACAAAAGCTATTCACACAGAGAATTATAAGTAGTTAAAATTATTTGTAAAAATTCAACAAGTTTTTTTGGGGGGGTTCAAATTACTGCTATTTAAACTCGCAGCAACAAAGGCAACTAATTTGCTCCATTTTTTTGAGAGGATGAAAATGAACTGCCTGCTAGCATATCAGGAGGTGAACGTTCCTTATAGTTAAAACGCAACTTTGAGGTTATTTTCAGAGTGTATTTCTTATTTTACTCAAATGAGTCAAAAATACATTATCTTCCTTGAAAATTTTAAGTTTAAATCAATTTTAAACAAACTTCCCTGTAGATAGACTGACTTGCTAAATGGATTAGGATAATTTTTTAGGAACTCAAGCTAATTAGGATCCCTTCAAAGCATCGGGAAGGCAATTAAGAATGCACCTTTTTTTTATTAATCTAATATGGAAACTTAAACGGGAACCTTGAGGACCTATCTAACTTGCTACCAAGGGCTACAAAGCGTATCATAGGTCAGCAAATGATTTTTGGATCAGGAGCTGGAATAAGTGCCGAATGAGCATTCCTGAAACCTGGTACTCATTACCGACAGAAGTCAGTCCTTACAAGTCTCGCAGGACAACTATTCCAGGAACACAGATTCCTCCCCTCCCCCGGTTTATTGTCCCCTCAACTTCCACAGACAAAGCAGCATTGGACTTCAAATCTCACAAGCAGTCGGCATTATTCTTTGGAAGTCCTTTTATCTAGATTGAGGTCTCCTCTGTGATCTCCTTACCAGATTCATTCTTCTCAATTATGTCCACAACTTGGCCCGCACACAAGCTGATTTCAGAGCTCTCTTGCTTCTGGTAATCTGCCACCACTACATACTGCTCCAGGACCATGGGATCAGCAGATGCCGAATCTCCCCCTGTATTTTTGGGAACATGACGTACATTTTTGGTCACCAAATGCAGCATATCTCAGGGTATTTCCCCCCCCCCCGAGTTTGCTCAAATTTGTGACCGTGAGAAAAGGCATATCATAGAGTGCACTGTAAACCCTAGGAGGCAAAGTTTTGTAGCGACAGGAACAGGTAACAATGGAGATTTGTGCTGCTTGGTCCTTCCAATTTCATACCTGTGCATCGTTCATTTCTCTAAGCCAGTGGTTCTTAACCTTTTCTTTACCACGGTCCCCCTTTAAATATCTTTTGTTGCTGCAGATGACCAAGACTTAACTCAAGATTTAAAACCCTAAAGTGCATCAAACATTTATTTAAAGTTTCTCATGAAGGGTCTTCAATCCATGTGCAGAAACACCAAAGAGTTATTTGTTATCAAACAGTTATTTTCATAACCAATTTTTTACTTTTGTTTGTTTTTAAAGGAGTCAGTAGGTTAGAAAAGCCAAATTTCATACAAACAAGCATGGGAAATTAAAATTCTGTACTTTCTTTCATTCCTTTCTATTTTAACTGCAAAATATCAACATTTATTCGCAGATCCCCAGTGAAGACATCACGACTCCCCAGGGGTCCATGGACCACAGGTTAAAAACCTATCTCTAAGCTATGGAAGCAAATCTTTTTAGCAGAAGGGCTTCTGCTCCTTCCAGTGTCTACATATGCTCCCCATTCCTAGTAAACTGCAACTGCTGTGCTAATACATGACATTATGTTCTCACTAGAAATTTCCTCTGCTAGTTTCACTATCTGAGCTTTGTAGCGCTAGTGATCTTCACACAGCAAAGACACGTGCATTTTTGTTTATGAGACGTTAATGGGACATTTCTGCTTAGAGTGGAAGGATCTAAGCAAGAATGAAAGGGCCAAATAGATGAACAAACAGCTAATTCATGGTAAAATGACCATCCCACATGGATGTGACTAGTGAGAATACTGTCAAGCCTTAGTACAAAACTTCATCTCCAAATTGTCAGTCATTTCTTCAGAACTTGCAGTTGAAGCAAGACATTAGTGAGATCTCATGGCCTCATCATCCTTTCTCTCTCACCCTTAGTAAGTGCAGTTGAAGCAAGAAGGATGGCTTCATCATCCTTTCTCTCTCACCCTTAGTAATGTGAACTGAACATATATCACGTAATTTCACAGCAGTACTTTTTTTTTTGCTGGCTAAGATTTTTAGCTCTGCAAACAGCAGGCAATGAAGTGACAAATTAAACTTGTAATGTCAGAATGTCACATTACACATTTAACCTTACGAGATTCTATGAGATAAGAAGAGAAAGGGATTCAATCATGTTCAGCAAAAGCCTGTGAAATGGAGAAAACTTGTTTCCATCTCCTAATCTTTTAAATGGCTTTGATGAGATAGGGGCTGACAAAATTCTTGCTAGCACCAAGTCATTATGTCTCAGGTCACAATGAAATCTGAGAAGCTGTTCCAAGAGTGTAATGCAGATTTTGTTCCCTCCCACCTGGGTTCCAGACTGCAGCCAATAAGGCCACAAAGAAATCACTGGGAGCCATGGAAAACTAAGCCATCCCTCATCTGTGCAGTCCTATCTTGAGCTGTCATCAATGCTGCCAAACTCTTCTCAATCTTATTGTACTATCTGCAATGTGAAAACTGTCCTGCTCGTAGCAAATCATCACTTTGGCCATGAACCCACTGACATCCAGATCCATGTCTGTCCCAGCCTTCTGAATCTCACTTATATTGATATATCTTGACCACAGGATTGAACTGGGACCCTTCAAATGACTCTGTAAACTAAGAGAAAGCTGTAGGACAAATGCCTTCTTTCCACCATTCAGTCCTATATCCCCCACCTTCTTCAATCAATTTTTACAGACATTTATATAATTAAATTCCAGTTGCCACAGCACACAGGGGAAAAGTGGCTTGGTTCAGCAGGCAAAATGAGGAAAAGTAACAGAAGTTGCGATTTTTAACAGAGGGGGCCTGGGCAAAACTTTTCACAAAGTTTCTACTGATTCAAAACTTCATTGGATTAAGCTGCAGTATGTAAGGAAATGGAAGGAAACTGGGAATTGTAGTTATGCAAAAATGGAGTCTGTTAGGTTCTGTGTAAGATGAAGAGATGTTTTTCATGAGCTTGTTATGCAGAGTTGTTTGTCAAAGTCACAAGGTTGGACAGTCCAGAGAGAAGAGACGCAACAATAAGACACCTGGAGCTTGGATCATGAGAACTTTGGGCGGTGATTGGAGTGTTCTGAATTAGGCCTACTTGGAGTTAATTGGGTGAAGAAGGAGGTCCTAAAGAGATGTAAAACGAGAGGGTTTGTGTATGTAGAAGGAACGGTCTGTGAATGCTGTGGAATGTGAGACAGAGAGGCTTGTTTTTCTTTTCAATGAGAAGGGGGGGGAATAGCCCAGCTTCTAGATGCCAACATGTAGGACATAGAGCAAACATGACTACCTAGCTGATTTTATTTTAATTAGAAATTTTAAGTTTATTGAAACATTGTAATAGTCTGGAAATGCTCAATGCTTACGCTTTAAAGTTACAACTGTATTCTAATGAAACTTTATTTTCTTAATAAAGCAAATATAATGCTTCAACAAGGATCTAATCTCTTGATACAGCAGGACTATCTAAATCCAGTATGGATGAAAGAAAGTTAATACAGTGGTGCCTTGCTAGACGATGATAATCCATTCCACTGAAATCACTGTTTAGCAAAATCATTGTCTAGCGAAAAGCATTTCCCCACTGGAATGCATTGAAACCTGTTTAATGCATTCCAATGGGGAAGAATCATCATTGTCTAGTGAAGATCAGCCATAGGAAAGCCACTTTGCAAACCGCCGATCAGCAGTTTAAATAGCTGTCTTGCGAAGGTTAGATCCCGAAAACACCCATTTTGTCTAGCAAAAATCGGTTTGC